AATTCCGGATACTTAACAATGTCAAAGTGGTTTGCACCATGGTTCTAAAGGGTTCGCATGGGCCTTGAAAAATTTTAAAAGTAGTAGTTGATGCTATTAGAAATAAATTTTTTGTTAGATACCACTTCATAGCTTAGAGTGGTAGAATTTTGATATATATATGTCATAGAAAAGTAATAAGTTATAGGCATTTTTTGGATATTAACATATCAGCGTAAGAGTCTTCACTTTTTGAAATTTTTAACTGCCGTGGTTTTCCAGAAAAAGCTCACAATGACACACTTTATTCTTAGAAATCTCACTAGAAGCGACCTTTCTCGACAGGAGACTATTTTAAAACCTTTAAATGTTCTGATCGTATCAATAAATATCTTTAAATCACCTCACCAATATTACTTTTCGGACAAAATTTCTAATTACTTCATTTGTCAATGAAAAAAAATCATTTTTAATCACTTCGGCTGAAATAGAAGTCGAAACGTGAGATACGGAATTAATTAAGTGTTCGATAAAAAAAAAATGGACAGGAAAAAAGGGGGAGGGGACATAGTGAGGTCAAAAATGAACTCAGAGGTCAATAAAACCATGCCAGAAGTGTCGTATGAATAAAGGCGTCCAAGTGAAGTAATCGGTGTCAGAATATAAGCAAAATACAATGAAGAAATATCCGATAAGATAATAATAAAACTTAAAATCGAAGGCTAAATACAATGAATTGTAAGACTATGTACAGACGTAGAACAAGTAAAATGCGTGAGACAAAATCGGTAAATTATAAACAAGAAAAAGCAAAATACAAGTAGAGGAGATGTGTAACAAGTGAAGGAATAAGAACAAGGATGGCGGTGTCGTTCGAGATATAGTGCTATAATTTGTTTTACATTGTATCAGTTCGCTGAGAACTCTTCTAGTTTTATAGCACTTAGTACTGTAAAAGCAACTGACATGATGGCGTATTAAATAATACGTTTTAAAGATTGATAATTTTAATTTAAATTCAGAGTTCCTAGGAAAACAAATAGTTTCGTAAAAAGGTTCAAAATAGATAAAGGAATGAAAGGATTCTGATCATTCTCCAAAACTATTGGGTTCAAATAATTTTAGAAATCGACAATGAAATGGAAGGATTCCGATCACTCTTACAAGCAATTGGATTTGAATAAGTTTTAAATTAGATAAACAAATAGAAAGATTCCGATAACTCATTCAAAGTGATGGATTCGGTTGAGTATCAAAATAGATTAATGAATGGAATGATATTCATCCCTGATTTAAAGAAATGGATTCAAATAAGTTTTAAAATAGATAAACGAATGGAAGGATTCTGATAACTCATTCAAAGTTATGAATTCGAATGAGTATCAAAATAGATTAACGAATGGAATAATATTAATCACTGACTCAAAGGAATGGATTTGAATAAGTTTCCAAATTGATAAACAAATGGAAGGATTCTGATCACTCATTTAAAGCAATGGATTCAAATCTGAGTGCCTAAACGGCGTTTCTAATCAACCTCAAGAATTTAAATTACCGATTAAGTAACCAGCTTTTCCGACCTGATTATCAGCATTCTATCAAACATCTGAAATAAAACGCTGAACAGTTTTTAAAGGAATGCTGACTTAATGTTTCAGATTAATCAGTATAATTTTCTCCTTCAGCAACTTCCACAAAAAACGAAATGGTTGAAGGAATGAAAGTGTTGACGCGGTAGCAATGTCCTTTTGTGTCACAATAGATGCCAAACTTCAATGCGGTCGTCTGAGCCGCTAAACAATGTCATATGGAATTATGCCAAGGATGTTGCTTGTTGCCACTAAAAATAACCCAAAAACTTGCACTTGCTTTTCGATTTGCTTATTCGGTGACTGATGTTTTTCTTCCGTTTTTATCTTTTATTTATATCGCGCTCTAGTCTTTTCTTTTGATGAAAATTTCAATTGTGTCTCTCTTAACATCATCAAGGTGTATCTGTTTTGAACTATTCATTAAGGAAGGTTAAAGAGAAATATGCTGATTAATGTTATGAAATGTTTAACGTAATGACCGCATTCAATTTATATATTTTTAGTATCCTGATAAAATTAAATCCAAACAAACTGTTCACATTAGAGGATGTCAATTAACATTTAAAGTGAACGAAAATATTTCTAAAATAATAACGTGTCAATATTGAAGTCAGAAATAGCAAATCCGGGGTTAAAATCATCAAAAACCAGTTTATCGTCGTGCGGAAATCGTATGCACTCGTCTTTAACCCCTTGGGGACGGATGATTCAGAAAAGCATTCGTACAAAATCAGAATCAGGATGTAATTAAATAAAAAATGGTAACTTAAATGTAGTCGTTTCTAATTTGACAGACTTACTTTGCTTTTACTTTAATTATTGTTAGTTTAATCATATATATAATCAATGTTATTTCAAAGTATAACTAAATAATTTTATTTTGAACAAAGTAATGGTGAATTAAATAAATTAAACAATTATAACTCCGCCCACAAGTAAACTGCTGACGAATTACTTTGATTACCAGTTTTATCCTTTTACCCTGGTTAATACGGCTTTATGCTGGCACGTATTTGTGACAGTCGGCACGAAAGGGTTAAGCTTCGGCCTCAAATAAACTGGTTTTAGGTGATTTTAAAATCTTAATATCGGTCAGAGTTTTAAAACTTTTTAATTTTATCTTTTGAAATAAAAGTTTATGAACCCAATTATGCATACTTTTTTTACTTCACTTTTGCAAGAATCTAAATATATTAAGGATACACAACATTGTTTATATCTTTATAACCTTTTTTTTTATAATTTTGACCACATTTTCTTGGCATCAAACTTTGTTCTCTTAAATTATGAAATTACTAATGACTAATCAACAAAGTTTCCAAAATTATTTTAAATTTATTTTCTATTTACGCTAGCATGTTAATGGAAAATAAATTTAAAGTTCTCATAGTTTTATAAATATTTAAATTGATTTTCGTTCATTAAAAATTAATGTAAATATTTTTACATCAATATTCAACTTAACTTTCTTTATTGCTCTAAAAAACAGTTTCAAAACGAACAATTCAAAGATTTTTATCATTATGTATCACGTGCGTAATAATCAAGCAAATGGGTATGATAAAAACTTTATATCAATATTAAAAGCAACTTTCTCAACTTTAAACACTCTTCTCTCTAATGTTTAGCGTAAATAGCCCTAAACAATGTCATAATATAACACTAGATAAAAATACAATACACTGTTTTACTTAAATTCAGTAACTAAATTTACATTGGTATACGACACTTATGCATAATGTATTTAATTGAAGAGTATGGGAAGTTAAAGAAAAAAATTGGTTAAAAATTAGGTCCAAAAAATTGTCTTAGTAATCCAAACTAAAATAATACATGAAAGAATCCAATAGCATAGCACACGTGATCATGAAACATTCAAGTATTCATTGTATAAGTTTTTCTTTTATGCTAAAAAGGATCCTTTAATTGAGATTCTTTAGTTTTTGAAATCGGAAAACTTACTCTAATTGAAGTGCAAAACTAGGTAAATCTGTCGATTCACAAATTGTTATGGAGAGCATAATAAAATTTAAAAAGCTTACAAGCTTATGTAGTTTACTTACTTTAATTGAGAGTCTCTGCGAAAAACTAGGTAAATCTGTCGATTCACAAACTGTTATGAAGAGCGAAATAAAACTTAAAAAACCTACAAGTTTATGTAGTTTTCAACATATTATTCACCAGACAGAGAACACTGATTTTATATTTGTGCCTGACTTTAGCCTTGATGAAAGCATCTATATTGTCACAGTCAAACACGCATTAAAAAAATTCTTCTTGTATCTTGTCTCTCAATTAATTATTTTTTGTAATTATTGCATGAAAATATTTTTAAAATTATTTGTTTTTATCTTGTAATTTTAATTGAAAGTTTATAAAACAATAAATTACACTGCACAAATGGTAGCAATCATTTTATACCAAAAACGGTGTATAGAAACACCTAGGATAGTTTTAGGCGTAGTCAAGACCACAAATGTTCCATCACATTTATTTCGATGCCCTTTTTGGTGTCTCGTTTAACACCGAAACATGTTTCAACAAAGTATTACAGTAAGATATAATTCATTCAAAAGTCAGTAGAGTTATTTTTGAGATGCAATTTACAACAAGAACTATAAATTGCGAATACATGCACTAGTTTTTAAATACATTTGAAAAAAAAAGTTCTGGGTGTAGTCAGCACTACAAATGTTCCATAACACTTATTTCGATGCCTTTTTTGGTGTCTCGTAACACCGAAACATGTGGCAACAAAGTATGACAGTAAGATATAATCCATTTAAAAGTCAGTAAAGCTATTTTCATGAATCAGTTTACAACAAGAACTATAAATTGTGCATGCATGCACTAATTTTTGAATGCACTTGGAAAAAAAAATTTGTTTGTTTATCAACCCTACACAGATAACAGAGAGAAAGTCAAAACAAATTTGAATTAGCCTTAATAGAGTAAAAGTGGATAGAAATGAAATATTATAAAATTATTTAATATAATGGACAAATTTATGTAATTCTTCTTATGAGAACAATGCTATTTTTATTAAACAACTAAAAACTTAAATGCCTTTTGTAGCAGTAAACTTCTGTTTCTCTGGAATGTTCAGCAGCGTACGAGACAACTAAAAAATTACATCTTCTCGTTCTTCATTGTAGGCAATCCATAGTAAACAATCTATCCAAACATTGCCTAAATTAGCGTTTTCGGAGGCAAAACAATTCATAAATTGTGTAAATGGGTCAGTATTCTCCAGCATCGTTGCTTAGATTTAAATACATCACTCAAATTGTACATGAACGCTCGATTCGGTATTAACTTGAAACAAAGTATTGATTAACTCAATTTTTGGAGTTTTTCAGCGCTGAATTTGGAGAGGCATTGCACCACAGTTTTCACAGTGCAGCTAATATAATATTATGTTTTTTTTAGAGTCGTTTGTCACCAGTCGTGAAAGATAACATCCTAGGCAAAGACTATGAAACACTTAGCCATGAATTATCAGATACAATGGAACGTGAGAACGATCTAAGAGAACAACTGAAATTCAGCGAGGAAGAGGCCAAACAAGCCAGAAGAAAAATTGGAGCTCTGGAGCAAGAAAATGAGACCCTGGTGTTGCAGATCAAGAAGCTTACAAATATTATGCGCAATAAGAAGGGGGGCAAAGGTAAGTGCATCATTAAATTCAAGAAAACAATGGCGTATTTTCTAAAAAATGATTCATCTTGTGTTCATTTTGGTTTTAAAAGAGTGCTTAAATAAGAAAGGCCCTCTGATAGCGTTATGTCCAAATAATCAGATTGCTTTATTTCTGCCGTCTAAAAATGCTCGAATATGTATATGAGTTAGAGTAAAAGCAACATTGCTGTCGATTTTGAAAATATTTTCACCTCTTATTCCGTGTAATCTGATAAGTTTCATTTTAAATTATTTGATTAAAATCTAACTATATAAAAATGAATGTATGTCTGTGTGTTCTTTAGAGACTCCTAAACCATCTGACAGTGAGAGCTGAAATTTGGCATGCTGATAGTTTGCAGTACCGACAAGGTTTGCTGACATTAGAACATTTTACAGCGGACCGTTTGAGCGGGATGAGCGAAGAATGAAATAGAATTTTCTGATAGGTTTAGAACTTGCCATTGATAAAAATTAAATTGAAGACGATTCCAATTTTTATTTCAAAGATAACACCAGTATTGCTTTCTAGTTTAAAGTTCTCATTAGAAAAAAGGAATTTATAGCACGTTTTTAATGTTAAATTATTTTTATTCATTACGTCAAATTGACTCAATGATCAACATTACTCAATGATAATCGATGGACTACGTCACTAAACTAGTATTTCAGAATTTATTCAAAACCATGTCTTTATTTTGCTTATAATTACGTTTTTAAACGTGCTTTTATAAATCTAAGTGATTGAAACAACATAATAAGTTACGTACAGATAAAACAAATTAATAGAAAAATAAAACTAATTCGTTTTGGAGAAAAAAACCCACCATGCTTAATATTAATGGCGAGAATGATCCTTGATTAATTTTCATAATAGGTACTAATTGAAATAAAAATAGTACTGAAAAGTAAAAATAATAAGGAAATGTTATTAATTTATTTAGGTAAAGCGTGGAAAATCGATATGCTATAAGTGAGGCCAATGATGCTTATTTAATCTTGGTAGTAAATATTATTTGGAATAAAAAAAAAAGCTTTGTATTAAAAATCAAAGTTAGTGGAGAAACGATGCTAAATGGTTTAGGAAGAAAGTGAGAAATCGCCACGAGTCATTTTTAACACCAATGCTGCTTAATTTACTTTTGTAATAAATGCGAATTAAAAGGAAAAAAAAAACTATGTAAAGAACAAAATTAATAGAGAAATGGTACTAATTCGTTTAAGAGAATAGTAGAAAATCTCCGAACCATTATTAACACCTATTAAGCCTAATTAGTGTTAGTAATAAGTGCTAGTTGCGAAATATAATAATATAGGTACAAGGTATTATGTTTGAATATTTGGTACCAATTAAAAGTGAATCAATATTTGGAAGCTTTGATATAGATACAGGGAAAAGAAGTTTTTCTTATGGCCCCTTTATAGGAATAAGTACCGAAGAAAATCCATTCATTATGGTCAATTTTGATTATCATGCTAAATGATATTAAAACATTTAATCTTTATTCTGATGAAAGGAACTGTGTTTTGCTTAATATAATAACGTAAAGCCACCAAGAAGGACAGAATGTAATAAATGAAAAATGCAACTATAACTTGTAGAAAAATATCTTGTGCCAGATGGTTCATCCGGAATACCAATATACTTGCAGGCCTCATAATAACAACTCTATCACAGCATGTATACAAACAAAAAACAGATTTTTTTCGATTAAGCCATAAAATGTGAAACAGCACATTTGAATGAAATCTTTTAATTTGAAAACTATATCAACAATAAAAACTACAGATCAATAGACATTTCACTTCTGACGTCCCATATCATAACTAACAAAACAAATAACTACATCAACCCTTTTGAAAATAACGTTTTCTCATTCTGATACAACTCAGTACAGCTTCAAACAAACATAGTTATGAGCAGGCTGCTCCTTTTACTTTTTTTTATTCCTCTTTAGTTATTCAAGCAAAGTGCTTGAAACATTCATAAAAGCAACTTCACTACCTGCTTACTTCAATGCTCATCCAAAATAGTTTTAAAATTCCAGATGAATGAGATAGGGGCCGCTTCTAGGCCCAGGTGCCCAATAATATCAAAACACTGGAACTAGGACTTTGCATTCATTTTAGTAAGCTAAATTAATAAGCTATAAAAAGTTGCAAAGTTTGTTTCTTTTAATAAAATTTTAAAATTTAACTAGTAAGCACTTTTTGTATTTTTAGTCAACCGTGACAAATTTAAATGATGGCTACTACGACTTGCATCATTTGCACCTCTTTATTGAATACTCGTGGTATTGAAATAGTAATAAAATTGATAATTTTATAAGGAAAATTTTTTATTTTTTTCTACTCCTAAAAACTGCATCGGATCTCATATTAAATTATTTAAACTCAATGGTAGATCATCATCAAAATTATTAAAATCAATATTATTAAATTATTAATTAATTATCAAATCATAAAGTTAGTTAAACATATAATCTTCAGCTAAAGTCAGACATTGTGACAGTTGGACTATATATTTTGGACCAATTTAGCGACTTTCTTCCAAGTGTAAGAGTAGATAACCCCGTTTAATCTCAAAACATGTTATGCTTTACGGTCTTTTAAACTTATTTGGAATTTTTCTTAACTAAAGGTTCTCGAATATTAGAAATCGAACTTTAAATAAAGTTATAAATGATCAAAAATTTGTGAATATTTTAAACCTTTTCTATACTAGTCATGTATCAAATTTGTACTTCGCAAATTTTCCCTCAATAAGAAGATATATGATCATATTTGCATAATGAATTATTTTCTTCTTCATTTCTACGATATAGTAATTACAATTAAACAAAAACAAATATATTCTTGATTTTGAAAAATATGAATATCACGGAATTAAATGTATTTCTTATAAATAAAGGGGAACAAAAATTTTACATTTGTCTTTACATTCAAACGTATATTATATCCAAAAATGACAGACAGTGGAATGTAAAGAAGAAGTTATATCAATTTAAATGTGAAATTAATTTCAACTTCTTTTTGTGAAGATGTAGATGCTGAAGAGGAAGAATCGTCGGCAGAAAACTTAAAGATTCAACTCGAGCTTCTGGAACAAGAGATGGGAGTTATTCGGAGAAAACTGGATGAAACTGAAAAAGAGAATGAAAACCTACAATCTGAAGTGAAGTATTTACAAGAGAAAGTCATTAATCAGCCACTCATTGAAGTGAGTTAGTTATATGGAGAAATTATGTCATTTTTTTAATCTTTGAGTACGAAAACTGAGAAGTTTTTTTAAAAAAGAATTTCCGTAGCATGACATTAAAAACGAATGTTGTAGATTTAGTTATTTATAGTTGATATCTTTTTATAGCAAAACTGTTCTTGTTCAATTGATGCGAAGGTTCGCAAAATGTATTTTGTCCTCTCTAATAAAAGAACATTTTTCGTTAGACTAAAGTTTATCAAAATTTTACGGATAGCTTAAGATTTTAAGGAAAATACAGGTAGGGGATATTTTCAGAATGGTTATAATCAGGGTAAGAAGAAAAAAATGGTATCTGAACCATTTTATAATAGATTTATTAGATGGTGGAGACAATAATTATTTGCTTTTTCACCATTATTTAGTTTGAAATAAAAATCCTTCAAAGTATGCTCAAAATTAATGAGCATTTGTAATGACAAAAAAGTGAAAGCAAAAGCAATTCCGTTACATTAAACATACTAATAGTCGAAGCAGAACGTCTTGGTCTCACCGTTTCGGCCCCTTAGCCATTTCTCTCTCGTGAACGAAATGACGCGTATGAAATGGTTCACATTGGTGTAGCCACTTATTGTTTTTCCCCTGATAATTGAATACCCTTGAATATGTCACTTACCTGGTTCTTTCCTGAGATCTTCAATTTTGAAGAATAGATTGTGTCAGTTATGTAAAGCTCAGTTGCTATTGGTGCTTAAGGCAATAATTTTAATATAATTTCTTAACTGCTTTCCTTTTGTAATCTAGCACCTATTTTTTTTCTTTTTTACTTTAGATATTTTAAACTTTTTACTATTGTTTAATTGTTAGTCATTTATTTAATAAGAAATTTTGAGATAGTCATGTTTAGTGTTGAAAAAAAAACAAGTAATAATGAGTATTGTGGGCTATTTCAATGATTGCCTACCTATAAAATTTAAAATTGAGTAGAAAAGGGATTCTATAATACTTGAAGTAAAATAGGGAAGATAATAAAAACTATGTAGAATACTTTTTTGTGAGTAACTCAGATTTGTTTTTCTTCTCTCATGAATTTGGCTAAGTTTGATACGTATTACTTTAGTTGTAAAATTTAGGTTATGCTATATATTATATGATTCGTATCTAATGGCATGCATCTAATGAAATGAAAACGGCTAGGAGGTAGAGCAGTCAGGATGTCTGACTGACTGCGGATTTGAATCCCGCTCGCGACATGAACGTCTCACTGTGCTTGTCCTTTGTTGTGTGGTGTGTTAATGTGGCCCAACCTATGAACGACTATCTGTGGATGTGTGGTGTGTGTATAGTTTGTCTACGGTAAGAACTCCCTCGCCAGTTTGAGGTCGTTTACTGCTATGGAAACAAGAATAGCGCATTTCAGGGAGGGTAGCTTCTCTTCACTTTAGGGTTAACACAATAGACCGAAGAAAAAGATTAGCTTTCTCTCGCCGGACCCGGGCCAAAATCTGTCCTAAACAATGGCTCCACACACCTACTTGAAATAGTTACGCCTCGTTACCATAGTCACCACAACGGGACCAGACGAATGGTTACGGGAGTTCTTATTTTAGACAAACTGTAATATTGCACGTCGCCGTAAATCAGGTTCGCAAGTGCACTCCGGGTAATGCTAAGTGAGCAATACTTCCGGCATCTTCCGTGGCGAAGAAATTAATAATTCAAAGCCAAAAATTAGACAAATCTTACAAAAGGAATCAGATAATAATATTCATAATTTCATGTTTGCAGTTACCTGAACTTCCCAAGGACGCTAGTAGCCCTGGAGTTTACTGGGAGAATAAGGTTCGGCTACAAGAATATGAGATTCGCGAGGTGAGAAAGAAAATGATTGAAAAAGACAGAGAAATCGAAAGACTAAATACTGAAGTCGAGATTTACAGAAAGAAAGCTTCCAAAGTGATGGTCCGTAGTAGATCTTTGGACAACGATTTGCAAGTAGACTTAAAGAGACAGCTACAGCTCGTAGAACAAGAAGCTAGCATTTTGAGACAAAAGGTAAATGAAAACTAAACCTCTCTTTCGACGAACAGTTCATGTACTCTTTTCCTCCTTTTATTAGCGAAATTATTGCATTTACTTACATTGCGTAAAATCATTGCATTTATATTGGAATAGTTTTTCGCTACGAAATTTGGCTTCTTAATTATAAAACTTAATTTTGAAATTAAGATTGATTATCTAGAGAGGTAAAGCTGGAGACGAGTTATTCTTAAAACACAAAATCAAAGTCTTTAACAGGGTGATTACCGGTCACGAAAATTTTCGAGAACTTTTGTTCTAATTTTAATAATAAAATTTTTCTCATGAATCCAAATTCTCGTCAATGGTAGACATCCTATTTAAATATATGAGGTTATCCGGAAAGTTTTGTCCTCTAATATTTTTACGCCCTATTTCACTGTGATATATATATA